AAAGTTAACCTTAATTGACTTTTTCTTTATTTTGACAAGTTCAATTTTAGCTTGCGCAAGAATATATTCCACCTTTTTAACACAAATGGCATATTAACAAGGGTCTGGATTTATTTTAAATATATTTTATTGTTGCACTGCCCTTGACTGAAACAGCCATCTTTCAATGGTAATAAAGGGTGAATGCATAAAATCTATTGTTGTTGAGAGGGCAACACAACACTCACTTACCATATAGTCAACAGGTATTTGCCATTGATTTGCACTTTAAGAGACCCAGTGTTGGAATGTTCCTGCCTTACAACAGGCTTTCTACTACCACCCTCCTACATCTCTCCATCCTATTGTTATAATAGCGTGGTAAGGTGAGAGCGGGACCATGATAATTGCCGTGCTGACGGGGTGTCATCCAACACCACATTATCTAGTTAGCAGTACCCTCTCAGAAGCAACGCTGTTATAATTTCAGGGCTCTAACCTTTCCCACATGGCAAACAAGAAGGTTGAATGGTCCAACAGTGCAGTAAAACTACTCTTCTCTTGTTGTATCTCCTTTGTAATTCTCTAATGTCATGAAAAGCAAAACCGGTCAGAGATCGGGAAGCTTGAAAAAGACCCGTCAGTTTGAAAGGCTATCAACGACTATGCTGCATTTTAAACCAGACTATCAAAACAAGGTAAGGTGACCTGAGAGTTCTGATGTAACAGACGAGATGTGTGATTCATCACTGATTAGCTGTTGGGTTTATTTTATGTCCCTGGTAGGAAGTTATTAAGGTCATGAGTTTTACATGCATAATTCTCTGTCAGTGGTGGTAATCCATAAGTAGCTTCCATCTATTATATGTGATGCAAAGAAACCAAACATCTGAGCTGTTTAAGGCTCTTATTAGTCAACCCAGTCTCATGGGAAAATGTATCCCCACTACGTGTATTAGTTGTCCCAGCTTTAAAATACAATCTGAAGTGAATTTTTTTTTTTCTGTGGTAATCTTTAGCACACAAAAGTTATATATACGAGAATTTGTGCATAAGTGTGTGCCACATGGTATTATAAATGAACATTTTATAATGTTTGCCATCTATGGATCTAGCTAGTCCCATACATTTCACAATATTTGTTATGAAATAACTGCATGAGAATTATGCATTAGTGCTACTATACATTGAAACAGGAATAATTAATATCATGAATAAGCCAAAATGGATAAACTGATGGTTCCATTTTAAAAGGATAGTTTTATCCAATGCACAGGCCTTCGTGACTCTGGGGCTTGCACCATTAGGACCTGGTGATTATTATGATTCGGTTTCTCATTCAAACTAGAGCCCATTTCAGTGAGATTGTAGAAATTGTATGTAAACTACTATTGGCAAGTTTTTTGTTGCATCTGGGGTTATTCTTATAAGAAT